GCCAGCCAGGAGTCGAACCTAGAATCTTCTGATCCGTAGTCAGACGCGTTATCCATTGCGCCACTGGCCCGATGAATGAATGTGTTTCTGCATACGTCTATATCAAAATATGCGAAGTATTTTTGAATTATTTCTTTTATTAATAATATGTATTTATCAGATTACGTCAAAATGATATATACTCAAATTACATTAATCATTCAGAGAAGAAACGCACTTAATTAGCTTTACTTTAGCACGATTAAAGCACAATGTAACGAGAGGAAGTTCACATTCAAGACTCATTATCAATTAAGAGACTACAGCATAATTTTTTTCACTCATTGGTCATGGGTATGAATAATGTGTCTTGTGTACTGTTGTATTAGACATTTTGAGCCTGGAAGCAACCTGCCATATAGCCCTCTGCCAGAAGGGCCAGGATTAAACCAGGATTTAAAAACGCAGATTTTAAAAATATATCCATGGAGTTTTCTCATATTTTTTTCCAGAGTTATATGTAAGTTTGCGCAGTTCGCGCTACATAAAGACGCAAGATCGAATCTCGAATCAACTGCTGATTGTCCCAAGCGAAAACGATAAGGTTGCCGTTAAAATTAACCAACAGTATCGATGATTATACGTTATGTATGAATAAAAGTATATTACAAAAACTACTAATATTTGTGATTTGATTTGAGTTTTTAAAAGAATTACAGTTACCTTTACAGTAATTAATATTGGTTTATACCATCACATGACAATAAGTAATTAGTACTGAGACATGCACATGTAATAAAAAACAAATATAAGAATGCAGAAATAATCAGAATTGTATAAACTAACAAACAAAAAAGTGCAAACACTACACAGTGAAATTCTGTGAGTGCATCATGTGTGCCAGTGTTTTTAAGTCAAGTGGGTTTATGTGTCATTTCAGCCCAGTATACAGTGAAACAAAGCACACAAAAAACAAAAAGACAGAAACAACACAGGACTAATGTTTACTTCTAATATGGAAAATGAATCAGTGTATTACACTATAAACACTGAAAAAATAATCAGTATAATTGTGTGTATGTGTGTGCCATAGTTTTTAATGTTTTTCTTCTTTGCCCCCAAAGCCACAAGCTGCCATGTTCTCGCTCAGCCAATGGCACGGTGGCTGTCCCCTCACAATGCCAATAGCCAACATATTGTTCATGTGTGGGTGGCTTCCTCTCTTTTGGTGCATTTCCACTGCCACCAACTGAGCCGAACTGCAAACTGATTGTTTTCCCTTGTAAATTATCTGAGCCATACCTGATATGGCCCTACTTACTAGTAGAGCCGAAACTGTGACCAAACCAAGCTGGCTGCATCATCACTGTCTAATTGGTTGAAATTGAGATACTGGTGTTCTGTGCCCAACCAGCTACTTTAAGAAGTACTACAGAATGGCTGAATGGAATCAATTCATAATGCTAATTTACGCAAGCACATGCTATTCCACTAATGTTTGATGCTATCCTAAGGATAGATAGGAGGACAGGGGTACTTAGTTGATTGCCAAGCGAGGGTGCAAAAGAAAGGGGCACTAGGCCTGGGCCTGTAAACCCTTAGTTAGCTGCATGAGGCACTAGGCCTGGGCCTGTAAACCCTTAGCTAGCTGCATGAGGCACTAGGCCTGGGCCTGTAAACCCTTAGCTAGCTGCATGAAGATTCTGCTGTGGAATCACAGGTGAAGTGGTGAGCAGGCATCTTTCTGTTTTTGCAGCCCCAGCAGTGTTTAGAGGAAGGACAAAGACATGAGGCTTGTCTGTGGAGGCCAAGTATATCTGCAGTACCAACACGTGAAAAGATTTAAGGCAGCTCACCTCAATAATTCAACATTATTTTGTGAAAGCTTTATTAATCAAGTCTGATTCTTTGACTTACCACTGTGTAAGTCTGCTGCTGTTTTCTGTCAGTTGGGTGGTGGTCTCCTGCATTACCTGTACATTGTTTAAAACACACTCCCTGATGTGCTTCTACGTACAGATGAGTGTCCACCTGGACAGTCTGACGCCATAAGTGTTCCTTGGGTTTGGTTTCCACTTCTGAAACACCTCCTCCACAGTTTTGCTACAATCTGGCCACTGTGTAAGATTATGTGCTCCAACAAAGCACCCGACAATGAGCAGAAACAATCTAAATCAACTAAAGGCTTAAGTATCGGGGTAATGGGGGATAATTAGCACAACTGGTCGTATCACGGTACCTTTTGTTGACTTCACCCCTGGTGCTACAGCTTTCTTTATGGCCCAGAAGCATCCTTTGTTGAAGCTGACCACATGATGTGGAGTACACTGTGTGTTCCTCGTCGTAGTGAGCAAACACACTCCAGAGGGAAACAATGTGGCTTGACCCCACGTATCAAAGGAAGGCTGTGAATGTCTTCAGAAATGGAACCATTTTGGACTTAGAAGCTTGAAAAAAACAAAGGTTTAATTTTCTTTTGAATTTCATCATACAATAGACATACTGATCCATACTGATCAATTTCAGTTCCTTAAATGCTCATACTTATATGAAATATAAGAACAAGACCATGAGAATGTGTTTATGTGATAATTGCAAATCCAATAAATAATTAATTTGTAAAACTGTTCTCAATCTTCACCTGTTATTACCTGCAAATTATTCAGAAATTTGCTTCTGAAAGCTTAAGATGTCTATCAAATGACGAAATATGCCTATATTACAACAAATACAATTACAGCTCTGCTCGAATCTTGGTAGCAGCAGAAAATGTGATTAGCTGTCTCTACCAAGAATTGATGGAATCTTGGTAGCAGGAAGAACTGTGGTTGGCTGTAGCTACCAAGAAATTCCTGGAATCCAGAGCCGTTTGGCTCTGTTCGAATCTTGGTTACAGGCAAAAATGTGATTGCCTGTCGCTAGCAGGAATTACCTCAATCTTGTTAGAAAGAGGAAATGTGATTGGCTGTTGCTACCAAGAATTACCTGGAACCCAGAGCCATTCAGCTCTGCTTCAATCTTGGTAGCAGGAAGAAACATGATTGGCTGTCGTTACCAAGTATTACCTCAATCTTGGTAAGAAGAGGAAATGTGATTGGCTGTCTACCAAGGATTACCAAGAATCACCTCGACTCATAGTAGCCAGTGGGTACCAGTGGCTCTACAAGTGAGTCGGTTGCCATATGGTTATATATCAAAATGTACTGCATATTTTTAATTTTTTATTTGTTTTATTAATAATTAACATACATTTAGAAAGTTATGTATACATTTTTATATATATTCAAATTACATTAGACATTCAGAGAAGGGTCGCGTACTTTTAGCATGAGTAAAGCACAGGAATTTTTGTTTAACGAACCAGCGATTTCACAGTCAAGACTTAGTGTCATTTGTTATTTTGGCCAGATCGACAGGTTCAGAAAGGCAAAGGTAAACGCAAGTCAACACCATCACTTAGATTACTTTAAGAACTAGCACTGGAGGGTATCTGCTTACATGCATTACCTATCATGTGTGTTTTTTGTGTGGAATGTAATGTATAATAAATGTAGTAAGCACATTAAGCCTATGCATTTCATCTAAACACAGGAATTATACTACAAAGATAACATTAACGTAGTGGAGTAAATGCTTGTCACATGGGTACTCAGTAACAACAAAACAATACAAAATGAAGAGGACCAATTATACCCTACAGGCAACACAACATGGCAGTTGGACGCATTTGTAAAACATTGGTACTCCTGTTTTATATTTTACTTTAGTTGGTCTTTATATCCAGATAAAATTAAATGGCCGGTTTGGTAGAAAGTACAGTTTTCATTGCAACAGTAGACACCTACAGCCAAATAAGATGAGCTCCCAAAAGGAACACATTTTGTGTATGTTTTTATACTATAATGACATTATTGTTGAAATGGATTAAATGATTTTAGAAGCATCAGATTCCCACGATTTTAGTTGCTCTGAAAGACCAGGATCTTTCCACAGCTGTGTGTTGGGCCATTTGGCAGGGTCTGTAAGCACAGGCCAGTCAGACGTGCCATGACTGAGGCCTGGATTAGAGAAAATCAATGTAATGAGTCAATGGTGGGTAGAGATATAGGAAAGCTTATTCTTAAAGAGGTTAGCTTTACGTGATAGCCCGAGGCAGATCAGACGCAAATTCCGTAATGTACGCGTCTGCACACATTTTAGTTGTGAAGAACGATAATGCTGTAAAATTATGCTTGCTTTCTTTCTTCTTCTGGAGAACAATTGTGGGAATGGGAAATGCACCGAGAAAAATATGCCTACAGAAGCTAGTTACACCAAACGCCAGTCCAGCCTTTGGTAACATATAGATGCATGGCTGCCCTCTGCTGGTAGTTTATAGGTAACACCATCTCAATGTCAGCAGCAGTAATAGTACAATAACTTATTACCAGCATCACATTTCCTGCAAAAATATTTAGCTTCTCCGTGCTCAAACATAGACACACATACACAACTCGATTACCAGAATTACTTTCTGCATTTCCACTACGTGCGTCCGTGGCCGAGGTCCGGTTCCATTATTATAACAGCTTCTCCTAGTGCTGGTAATATGATTACATCAGCATATGCATTTACGTTATTATTTTACAGTAGCAAATGTTTTGTTTTACCGCAATATATAAAAAAACACTTTATCTGTGCATGTAAAGCTGCTTAATATAATTTCAGTTATAAATATATCATGTAGGTATTTCATGTGAATTATGAGTTACCTTATATAAGATCCCTGTTAAGCAACCAATACTGTATTATTATGTTAATAGTAATAATAATATATTATTAATATTTCTTTAGAATTTGGTGTTATAGAATGTCTTTTTATATTAACAAATATATAATGCACATGAAGTGAATTGTACTTCAGAATTTCAGAAAGAACAGCATTGCGTTGACTTTAACGTAATGTACTTCTTAATAGACCTCATGTCCCATCAGGCCCTTCGGCCGAGTCCCCGCCCACTACGTTCCTGTGGACATGACGTCAGTCATCAGCTGACGGGTTTGTTTTGTTCCTTAAGGTGGACTCACCGTCCGAGTTTAGCTGGGGGGAAGGTGCGACGTAAGGCACCGTTCCTGATAACTGATTGTCTCGAAAGCTCTTGTTTTTATTTAATTTTAAATCATCCCCAATAAGCTATACAATAAGTGCTTAATCGGCGCCGCGAAACAGGCGTCTTGGCCTAAAAAGGGAAGCGGTGTTACCCCCGAAAAACATGCCTTCCGAAAAGACGTTCAAACAAAGGAGGACATTCGGTGGGTAACGATGTATTTATGGCTGTAATGATGTTGGGTGTGTAACGGAATCACGCGTAGATGTGTTATTAAATGTATTTCAGATCCGATTCTTTGTATGCGTCAACCCGAGAATGCGATCGAAGTCTGCTACATACTTAGTTATATATATCGCTGTCACAGCCTAACCAGGTAGTTGAAAATGGTAATGCGGAGTCCGTCTGTCACCCTGCCGGACAGGGTCATGGACGATAGGGCGAGGATTAGAGCAGGGCTGGGGGCGGACGGTGGCACCGTGATCGTGGCCCCTCTCCGGTCCCCGGTCCTTGGAGGGTGGGGAAGAGAACAAGGCCCACAGAAATGAAAGTAAGATTAGAGTGACGCAGACTGACACCTCGGCCTTGTTTTTGGTTTCTCTTAATTAAGTAAAACCGAAGGGATGCAGCCCGCCGTACATCGCCATTTCCCAACGGTGACCTGCCTCTGTGTTTATACTCGTTTGCGAGCGTGTATTTCAAATAAATTTGGCTGTGTAAATAACAACCGACCCCCCATCCAGCTCCAAATATCAGAATATAAACGAAAGTAAAAAAGAGATCGTTTGATGTTGGACTTCGTACTTTTATAGCCTGACAAAAGACTTATGTTCACACTCACATGACGTACTTGAAAATATGTCTAAATCCTATTAAAATAATATGATGTGCTGACCGTTCTGTAAGGTGCTTTTTAGGTCCATTTCGTGGAACAGAGGTTGGCTTAATGTTTAGTCGGAGTTTTCTTGTTTAAACTTCATGTTATGTTTTCCCTACTGGAAAAGCATACTAGCATTGCACAATATTAAACTTCATATGCATGATGTAACCACCAGTCAAGCTTGCGTGAAAACTGTTTGTAATGCTCATTAATAGATGCATTATGATTACTTATGAAACCTGACATTAAAAATTGTTGTGATGCAGAAAATATCATCAAATGTAATGTTTTACCTTTTTGAGGAATCGTATATGACAACAGTAATCCTTGTTTGATGGTAAACTTTTTAACATGCTGTGAGAAACGTGCCCTGTGCATAAACTCTTCAGCCAAGTCTCTTTTTCAATGTCGGTAAATGCTCAGGTGAACAGCTCCCTGTTCAGGTTTCTGCTTTACCCATTACTTAATTAAAGATAAGAATCCATAAGTAGACGCCCTGTGTACAGCTCATTAGCTCATTACTGGAGGCGAAAAAGAAACAGGGGGAATTGAAAACAATGGAACACCAATAAAGTGCTAATAAAACGCGTGGTGGCAGCGGTAACACTGCCGATCAGGGTGGGGGCTGGGGTGCTGTCGGTAAATTTCGCCCTATAGGGGTGGGGGGTATCGCGCCGGCAGATCGATCGGCCAAATTTTAAGAAGTTTAATCATTCAATCCTTTGCTACGGTTATTCTTCAATTTTTGCACGCGTTTGCTTAGTTGTATCTTCTCCACATCTGTTCACAATTTGTCTACCAGTCTCCCTGTATATTATCAAAAACACTTCCTAGCCTTACCTTATGGTAAGTCCACCCCTCCCTCTGTTTCTTTGAGAACACTTGGTGTAACAGTGTGAAACAAATCCATGCACTCATTAAAGGAGCCAATGCGTGATTAAAATCAAGTAAATGGAAAGAACCATAAAAATCTGTGGTTTGAGCCAGTGTCTGACGTTTACATGTGGGATGTGTTTGCGGGGATTTTGGTGTCACTGTTTTGCTGTTGAGTTGCTTAAAGTTTTGTGCGCACATTTGGATGGTGGGCTTTGGGCGTCATGGCAACTGCTGTTGTCCCTTAACAATCCTTGTTGTTGTTATTCGGGCAGTGGTCCATAGTGGTATGATCAGCGCTGACAATTTCAGCGCTAATATTTCCTCCAGGATTTTTGCTTGCCTTTTAGGCCTCACTGGCTGTGTTGGGGAATGTTCAGCCCCAGAGGAGCTTCTGGGATTGTGATTCATTGTCAGCATTTTTAAAAGCTTTTCCTAGCAAGCCTGGCTAGTGGCTACTGTCAGTTACACAGCATATAATTGGTGTTGTCAAGGATGGGCTTGCTTTTAAAAAAAAAAAAACCCTTAGTGACCAGCTCTTCTAACCACTTCCTTAGTTTCCTTGTTGGACAGTGACAGCCTGGAGAAGGCTTGTGTTGTCAGGATGTTTGCTCCAGAAAGCGCGAAAAGCAAAGCTGATGTTCATGATTATTTTTCTGCAGAACAAAGAGTGGAAGATGTCAGACTGATCCGAGAACAGCACCCCAACAAAATTCCAGTGAGTAAAACCTTTTGGGCCTTATGATATTTGTTGTGTGGAGGGTGTGATAGTGACACGGAAGTCTCTGACGATCACTGTGCTGTCAGGACAGACATTTTAACTCACAAAATAATATAGCATCAGCAGCATTGGCTGCTTTTGTTAAATACACAGCAGACAGTGAAAATGTCAGAAAATTTAATCTGACTGGCTGTTTTTCTGGTGCTGTCAAAGTCATAGTGGAAAGCTTTTACTGTTTAGGGAAAAAATTTGCTTAAAAAAAAAAAAAATCTTACCAATTTACTACAGGTGGGTACGCTCAGATCACTTGACGTGTCACTGCTGAGGCCTTGTTTGTACAAGCAAGATGAGCAACTGGGTGTTTTTTCCCCCCCCGTCAAGTGATCAGCTTCTCCGCACTCTCTCGTGATGGGAAATGTTTAGCTAGTGCAGACCAGAATATCTCTCTTTAAGATCATTGCTGACAGCTCACACCACTGGGCCGTGGCGCTCGTTCCTCGCGAGAAAAGCTGACAAGCTGTGTAACCTGAGCCATATGAGGAGCCCTGCTCCTGAGCTAAAGACAAGGACCTGAAGAGAGCCATCAGTGGCCAGTACAGGACCCCAATCCAGGGAAGCCTCTTTAAAGCGGGATAGGGTGTCTCTGGATGTGGTGTCAGGCTTTGGAGCACAGAGGCTGGAGGGTGGCTGGTTGTCAATCCCCCCTGACTGACCCTTCCTCCTGGCCTGGCCTGGCTCACATTGCTCTCGCTAATACTCGCAGTATGGTAGTTAATAAAGTATACCAAGGTATTCTGAAATCTTGGCAGTGTGGCTTTCCATACCATACTAAGTAGCAGCCGAATGCAGCCGCTTGAGGTGACATATTGTAGTTCACATCTCTGGCCACTAGAGGCGAGATGGAGCAGAGTTGCAGCGATCAGTGTATTGGGCTCTTCACGTGTCATTTGTTAATAATCGGGTGAGCGAATTGGTGAAGATGAAAAGCGCATCTGCTCAGCCTATTCTCTGGTGGAAATCCAACAAAACCCGCTCATGGTCAAACGTAGCCCACAAATGCGTGTGCATCTGTGCACCAAGTACAGCATCCAAGAGAATATTCAGCACAGCAGGGAGTGTCATCCCCACACAGCACTCGCAGCTGAAACCACATGCTTGGTTTCTAGCTAAAAATCTATATTAGATTGGCTGGTATTTTAAATGGGCTGAACCAAAAGACATATGTCACATGCGTGCTGTACTCTTTCTGTTCAAAGGGTTGTGTTTGTTAAATATTCATTGTAACTGTAGAAGCCACTCATTTAATTTCTGTTTAAATTAATTTAAGTTATTTTGTTATTTGTAGCTTTATATAATAATTAATTGTAATATATTTAAAATTTTAACTGTAATACACTTTGTTGATTTGCATTCTGTTTAAATTGTTTTCAATCCTTTTGTTAATTTGTACACAAACGCTTGTAATAAAGTTTAGTACTATATAAGTTTAAATTATGATTGATTAAAAACAGCACTTCAGGCAATTAATTATTCTTCTCAGCAAACCCCTCCCCCAGAACAATGTTGCCTTTGAAAATACTTCCAAAATACAGTATACCTGGTTGTAATGCCTGCGGGCTATGATGGCGTGCTGAGGTCACACATGTCTGTCCCTTCCAGGTCATCATCGAACGGTATAAGGGAGAGAAGCAGCTGCCTGTTCTGGATAAAACCAAGTTCCTGGTTCCTGACCACGTCAACATGAGCGAGCTGATCAAGATCATCAGGTAGCAGCAGTCTGTGAAGTTCACCGTCCTGTGGGGTTCCACCGCTTCCTGGGCACCGAGTGCTGTGTTAGTACCAGGGAATCATGGGAAACTGGCCAACAGGAAGGGATCCTCTTGTGTGAACATCTCCTTATGTCACTGTTGTTTTTAGAAGATGTGATAGAAGATGGCCAGGAATTAATGTAGCTGCCGTTCTTTAGATTTGAATTGGGTGCGGTTAGTAAAGTTTACTCTCCGTAAGATGCATAATGCAGCCTATGAGGGTAATGGAAATACCTTTCTGTGAAATCAGAAGGATGACATTTTTGTCAAATTCAAAGAGGTTTGCTCTGTCTGTCGTGCATATCATATAATTTCCAAGCATTTGTGGGCTACAGAATTTCAAAGCTGGTGCCTAGTGATGAATAAAATTAATTCTGTATAATTTTTGTGTGGATTTCCATTCAATTTCCATTCAGGTGTCCCTTCTGTTGTCTATTTATAGTATGTTTGTGCCTCGTTACTATTGATTGGGTGGGTTGAATTGTAAACTTATTTCTTTAGGCAAGTAGGATGTCTGCTGTTTGTATCTGGCTCTTCACTGAACATTAAATAAATATTAAATGATATAGTCAACTGTTATCTGCTTTATTATATTTTATTGTTATATTTCAGTAAATATGAGTTATGGTCACTAATAATATTTCAGCGCATTTGATGCATTTTGCAATTCATGTATATGTTTTTATTTTGATTATTTAGTGTTTGCAAAGAGTATAGATATTCCTGGTCTCTTCCATTTCATCAGTGATAAGTTTGCTTGTGATTCTGTGTTTGGCCACTAGGCGGCGCCTACAGCTGAACTCCAACCAGGCCTTCTTCCTGCTGGTGAATGGCCACAGCATGGTGTCTGTGTCCACAGCCATCTCCGAGGTGTATGAGCGCGAGAAGGATGAGGATGGCTTCCTTTACATGGTCTACGCCTCACAGGAGACCTTCGGGCAGGACCCCCTCCTGTAACTGCCCCCCACTACCCCTCTTCGGTGGTCACGCCCTGAAACTGACAACAGTTAGCCAACCCCAAGTCCCATCCCTAAATTTCTGTCCTTACCTATACCCCCTCTTCCTTCTTATTATAAACGTCACAGAGAGCCCTCCTTCCTGCCAAAGAAACCCCACTGACGGAGCCCCGAAATCCTGTCCCTGGCCAGCATACTGGGGCAAAACAGGTTCTACACGAAAGCACCGGTAGATCCATCACACAAGCGAGAGGTTTGGTGAGGCTTCTACAGTGCTCTTCAGCCACTGTTCAGCTGGAAAAAAACAACCATCTCATGGAAACAGACTCTCCCCCTCCCCTACCCGCCCCCCCTCCCCTCCCCCCGCTTAGAGAGCTGAGTCACCAACCATGTTTACACCAAGTAACTAATGTTGTTGTAGGCATGTTTCGTGAGAAGCTGTAGTGAAGCCGGAGCCCCATGCTGGCCGCTGAGCTGCACTGCGCTCTTTCTCTCTGGCTGCTGGTGGCACTAGTCTACAGATGGCTCCGCCCCCTAAGAACCTTTATGCAGTGCTGAAGGGGGGGTGGTGGTGATGGTGACCATTCACCTTCCCGCTTCTTAATTTCTTTATTAGGTCTCTGGGGTCTTCATTTTAGGGAAAAAAAAGATGCAAAATATCCCCAACTACTCAGCAAAAATGTGGAACTCTGGGTAACATTCACTGTGCTGCCGAACTCTTCGTAGACTGTAGAGTAGCAGAGTAGGATAATAATGCGTCTCGGTAAGAAGTGGAAATGTAAAATAGACTGATTGATATATAAAGTAATCAGCATGAATGGAATGCAACATACCTAAGAGGGTTCAGGAGGCTGTGGAGCAGGTCTGGGCATCTGCTCATGGCAACTGAAGTGCATGACCCCCTGGCTAAGATATAGCTGCCCCCTAGTGTGCTTTTACGGTATTTAATTTCGTCATGTCTGCCATTTTTACCCCTTTAAATGTGTGCTGTACCTTTTGCTTTGTTTTGGACACCCTTTCCTTTGCAGGCAAGATGCCTTTTATCTTAAGCTTTCTTGGAAGTTAATCTTTTTTTTTATTTGTTTTTATTCTGTGATATTTTCTCTGTGTAAAAATAAGGTTTAATTGTGGTGTAGTTCATCATGGAAGACATGAATGTGCGACTGCCCTAACACTGAGGAACTGTTTCATCCCTACTGGTCTGTCTCTCTGCAAACCCCCCTCCCCAAATTTACTGCTAAATGTTCATATTCACAGCAATACTACATCCTTTCTCTTGTATTTATGCTGGTATTTTAAGAAATAAAAGAGAACAATATATGTGTGGGTAAGTGTTTCTGTTCTGCCGGTCTCCTCGGTGTGGTAGCCTTGTTTTCCTCGAGTTTGGCCGCTGAATGATCAGCCTGCTTCACTGCTCTATTAGTGTGGGGGCGGTGGGGCAGAATGTGAAGAGGTGTCCACACACACGTTTGAAACAGACCTGTTCTACTAAGCGTGAGGGGTGATGTGTGATTTTGCTGGAATGCAGTAGAAAGCAGCAGATTCCAGGCTGCTGTTATGTCCTCAGGCCTCAACGCTCACTGCAGCTTCTAGTAGGCGGCCGAAACGGAGAATGGGGCGCCGTTTCGGGGACTGAGGGTCAGACATCACAGCTGAGCCAGATTCGAGCCCACAGGCCTGTGTGCCGGAATCAGGGCTTATATGTGATTCTTTTGTCTCAGTCGCCCCATCTGAGTGTCCCTCTTGGGCCTGATTGGTGGGTGGGTGGGTTACATAGCCCCTACTGGATTCTGTTTGATAATCATGACTTGTAGCACCAAACACACAGGCAACATTGAAATATTTGAAACATGTTTAATGCTCTTTACAAAAAGATTTCATTTCAGACATATAAAATGTACAATTTTAAAACTGTCTAGTTTTTGTTTGAGCAGAGTACCAAAATACAAAAAGGGGGTGTTATAACATCAGATCCACTACATGTAATCAAAGGTTTATATTTTTAAAGAACAGGAAAAAGGACATTATTGGGCTACATGCAGTCTGGGTATATACATGGAGAGGGGTTCTGGTGCACAGTATGACTGGCAGCTCCGCTTGGCCCTCTGAAAACCGTCTCTGTCTATCTCTCTGAGCAGCCAAGCTCTCCCTAAAAAGGCTGTGATGTCACGATGATGTCAGCACACTGCACGCCATCATCTTGGTGAACGGTGTACATCCAGCTTTTCCTGCTTCAGTTGCTTAACACCGCTTCCGTCGTTCCAACATGATATATAAGGCTGATTATATTGAGGAAAACACTTCATTAGTGTTATTTTTTTCTTGTTGATATACATAGTTCTGCTAATAAATTGGACCACGTAAGCCTGACAAATGCACATAACCGTCCAGGAATTCAGTCAGCCTGTCCAGAATGTTCCCCCAGTCTCCAAATCGGCATGTGAGCCAAGGTTTGCTGTTTGCTCTCTTTGGTAATCTTCATTCCGAATGGCTTCCGGACAAAAGTCACCTGCTGTGGATTTTGACTGTTAGGGAAACTCCCGTGTAATCCAGGGCCAGTGATATTTATGGGTTTATTTTCCCAGAGGCTTTTACTGGAGGACTGCACTGGAGAGGATTCCACTGTTCGTAATCAACACATTTTACAATGTCGGATCTTTCTGACTGACAGCAGTTACACAATTTTAGTTAATATGTGTGAAATCTTACAGCCTAATTCTATAAAATCACACACATTATAATTATGAAACTAAGATCTTCTGTCTTTTCTGTCCTGAAGCCTTATTCCAACTTGAGCATAGCTGCCTGTTTCTGCTGGTCTTCCTGTCTAATTCCTGTGTCACAGACTGGATGCAGCTTCAGATCAGCCTCTTAGACCAGGAAGAGAGACCCACAGCATCACACACCTGTCTGACTGTCTGACAACACGCCTGCCTGACAGTGTGACAACACGCCTGTCTGACTGTCTGACAACACGCCTGCCTGACAGTGTGACAACACGCCTGTCTGACTGTCTGACAACACGCCTATCTGACGGTATGACAACACGCCTGTCTGACAACACACCTATCTGACAGTATGACAACACGCCTGTCTGACCACATGCCTGTCTGACAAGACGCCTGTCTGACCACATGCCTGTCTGACAAGACGCCTGTCTGACCACATGCCTGTCTGACAAGACGCCTGTCTGACAACACGCCTGTTTGACTGTCTGACCACATGCCTGTCTGATGGTGTGACAACACACCTGTCAGACCACACGCCTGTCTGACAACACGCCTGTTTGACTGTCTGACAACACGCCTGTCTGATGGTGTGACAACACGCCTGTCAGACCACACGCCTGTCTGACAACACGCCTGTCTGACCACATACTTGTCTCACCGGTCCTTCAAAACAAACTGCTGAATTCAATATGGTTTTAAATTAACACAAACATGTATCTATATATGTCCTCTGGAGGACATACTGATCATGTCAAGATTTTTGTAGTTTAGGGTGAAAATGCATTTTACAGATAGACAATCTGGACTGTAAATACTGTAAATTATTGTACATTTAAAATTTCTTTAAGTACGCAGTTCTATAAAGTCAGCTTTAAAAATAAGTACTTACAAAGCGCAATGTGTGGCTGAATACCTCTCCTTTGTTTCCTTCTTGTGGTTTTTATTACCATGTAAGCAGGATGCTGCAAAGTAAACCATGTGAACCATGTGTTTACCGGAGGGAGGTGCTTCAGACGGCGGTAAGGCACAGGGGGGGGCAGCCCCTTCCCCAGAAGTAACTGTGATGTCACAATGCCAGCCAGCCCACAAAGGGTTCTAAGGAGAATTAGAAGGCCCCTTTCACACACACACGGACCCTTCACTTAGAACCCCCCCCCCGTTCACGTTCCTGTAATGTTCCAGGTTCCTTGTGATCACTCCAAGCAGCGTGCGGAGCGGCAGGTTCCAGTCAAAATACAGCAGGCTTCAGCGTGTATTTGGGGGGGGGGGGGGGGGCAGGGGCCTGTGCTGCTCCATTTCAAGGCTTCAGTCTGCAGAATCTTGACTGTCAGATGGGGGGGCGTATTTCAGCCGAAAGGTTCCTGGGGGAGAAAAAGCCCTGGTTAGTGAGCCGGAGGACGCGGGCGTCACACAGCGTAAGCGACGCACATGCAGGCCTGCCGCCGGCCTGCTACCTTGCTGGCCAGATTCCATGAGGGGCTGCTTGCAGTCCTGCGCCCAGTGGCCGCTCACGCCACAGTTGTAGCAGGAGACGTTGCCCTTCTTCTGCTCGCCGCCCCCATTGCCCACGGCCACCTGCGGCTGATAGATGCCGGCCGCGGCCCCCAGGAAGCCCTGCATGGGTGGCAGCACCAGGCCCGCCTGCGTCTCATGGGGCAGGCTGCCGCTGTACAGGGGCGGCGCCACCAGGGGGTAGGAGAAGGGAGCGCTGGCACTGTGGGGCTGGGGGTGGGGCCCGGCCAGCAGCGGGCTGAGGTGCAGCAGAGGCCCAAGCGTGAGCACCGAGGGGCCCGAGAAGGGGTGCTGGAAGTAGCCTGCGTAGCCTGCAGGCAGGGCGCAGTAGGAGCCACAGCTGCCGCTGCAACCGCAGGAGCTGCAGACGCACGTGGGGGGCTGCGTGCCCGTCCCGCCTGAGCCGGTCTCCGTAGAAACTGCGCCGGACGTAGGTGGGGCGGCTGGTCCGGGGTGACCCTTTGCACAACGGGTGCTTTCGGGTGCCGTCACCACGGCAATGCTGCTGGCGGGGGGGAAGGTCGACCAGGAGGCGGAGAAGTGTCCCGCGCGGTGAGGGGACGCGGGAGGGACCGAAGGGGACAGCTGCGGCTGGAGGGGGGGCCGCGACACGTGGTGCAGGGTGTTGGAGGTGGCTGTCGGGGCCGTGCTCGTCTCCACCATCAGGCCCGGGGGGGACCGCAGAGCTGCCAGCGCGCCCTGGGGGGCAGCGCCGTCGGAGAGGAGCGCTGGTGCCAGCTCCAGACTCAGGCCGGGGAAGCGGCTTTCCAGCTGCATGCCGACGGCCACGCCGGGACACATGGGCTTGGCACGGTCCTCCGAGCAAAGCGGGGACAGGACGGAAGGGGGGGGCGGGGGAGGGCGGGGCTTGCGAGGGGGGCCAAGGACACGCCCAGGTGAGAGGAGGGGCAGGACTTGGGGAGGTAGAGGCAGGTGGTAGGGAGATGATGATGAAGAGGCGTCATTCTGGACAGGAAGAACCTGAGCGGTGGGTCGGATCGGTCCGCTCGGCACCGTATGGTTCAGCAGCACACAAGACCGCTCTCTGTCCCCAGGTTCTGACCCAGTTTCTGTTCCTATGGCAAGATAAGCAGCAGGGGATGTTGTGGCATGTTAGAGTAATACAGTAACCAAGATACAAACTAAATTAAATCTATTCCCTACTGCTCTCACACAGCTCATTGCCAATACAATGTTCACAAGAAGTTTGAAAAAGATCCATGTAATATGTTTAGAGTTACTGCGTTCTACAGGCGTCGTTTCCTTCCTTTGCTGCCACACAGCGCTGCTGCTTCATTTTTGAGGCAACTGGTCTCAAAATGATTTTCATCCAAATAATGTTTTTATGAAGCACTTATAAGATCCCTGAAATATTTTCTGAATTTTCACGTTCACATGGTCAAGTGTCGTCTGCAGTCACTCTTTACTTTGAGCAGCACTGTTCCAATTTTGGTGTGATTTGATTAGTTCCAGTTCCAAAGTTTGATTAGTTCCAGACCTTCACCCATACAATGTCCTTCAAATACTTTTAACACTCATGCTAAGGGGATCAAGTGTGCATCAGCGGACCGGTCCCAAAGCCAGATGTATTCCCCATCCAGGGAGCACAATAATTAGGTCTGCAGCAACATAAATAAATTCTCACTGTATTATAGAGACTATATTTTATATTTGTACACTCTATATTCAACTTCATTTCTATATTTTTCTGTTTTTCAAGGGTACGGCAGTGCCTGATCGTGTGTGCCGCGCAGGGGCTGGGGTACTTACGTCTGCGTGGCTCTGCAGTTACACTGGCCTTAACACTGTCAAGGGCCTCGTCGCGGGGGCCCATGGGGCTGGAGGGGGAACTGGAGTAGCCTGAGGAGGAGCCGCTGTCCCGGGGGAAAGGGAGGGAGCTGCTGTCCACCTCTACCCGCAGCTCTAAGATGGAGGCAGTCAGATACACACATACACACGCGTGTTGTTTACATACGTGTGAGTCACTGCTGGTGGTACCGTGGGTGCCGTGTGTGCGGGGTACCTGCACTGCTGGTGTTCGGCGCGATGTGGCTGGATGGGGCCACTCTGGCCACCCCACCGCAGGTCACCGGGAACTGGGAAACCACATACCTCTTCTCAGACTTCTCCCTACTGGCACTACAGGGGAAGAACACATGACGGCAAAAGCGTGTTTCGATTTCACGCGGGGGGGGGCATGTCCATTTGTTAGTGGTCAGCTCGTTAGTGGACTATCTTGTTCTCGTCCACCTGTTTCTAGAATGATACCTGGTTTCACAGATTCCAAATTAAGGTTCCCACGCTCCTGACCAGGACAAGTAGCTGGAATATTGTGTTTGTACTGCACTCTCAGGAAAAGGGCATTAAAGACGGCCGATGAGAGGGGGCATGAGTCAGACAGGGTGGTTTATGGAGAACTACATGCCCAAGTGGACCCCAGACAGGCTCCCGCCATTCCAGGGGGCTCCGAGACACACATGAGCATGCTAAAGACCCCCCTGCTGGCATTCTGCCCATGGTAGCGCCGCGCTGCGCCGCTGTTGCTATTTTAACACCCAGGCCACATATTCGGTTTCCCTCACTTGAGATAGGTAGGGATCGGCAGCTCTCTCGTGTAAATGTGATCTCACGTTGTAGCGGATCGAAAACTGACCCATACAGTAAAGCGCCGAGAACACGACCATTAAAAGTAAAAATAAGCAGCGCCTGTTAAGACACAGAGTATCTTGAGGGATATGTAGCCCTGTTTACCTGCAGGGCCGGGCAGGCTCTGGCTGCTTGTGTTCTTGGCAAAACTGGTCTTACTAACTTTCCTACCAAGAACAAAATTGGGTACAAAATTGCAGTACAAATGCAATGAATCATGGGATTGGTCTCATTTGATGAGGATGCAACCGATGCATCCTTGAAATTTAGGGTGGGGCAAGAACGACAGCCAGGGATTTTTACGGTCTTCTGTACGTCTGTTCTTGAGTATGGGACCTGTACTTCGGCAATGGAAGATGACATCAAACGGCTATGTGAGAACACAACAACAGTCAAGTATGCACATTGAGAAACACCCCTAGTCTCTGGCTAACACTGGATGCTCTTTCTTGATACTGATCAGTCGCAGGAAGCGACGCCACGCCAAGCCCAGCCTAGCTGGCTCCCTGACAGCTGTTTGCATGTCATGAACTATCTGCCTTGCCTTGCTTTGGACAGAATAATCTTCCAAATGAACAATGATAAAACTATCCTTGTTTATTGTTTTATTCACTTCATCGTTAGGTGCCTTTGTCTATAGCAGGCTGTCCCAATTGCCCGTCCAGGATTCGACAAGGAATGCTGGGGGTTTGGGGGAGGGGTTGGTTAATTTCCAAAAATAAAGCATAAATTTGAAAGACACACCTTTCATATGACCCCTGATGCATCCTGTTTGCACGTAAAAAATTGGAAACAGTTGAACTCGTTAAATCTCTCATGACAGCTGATCCACTCCTCCCTGCCCCCATCCCCACTGGCAGACAAGTTCTACCAGGTCGTGACATTTTTGTATGACATGCACAAGTCCGAGGCCTTTGAAAGGTTAGGAAGCCATACTCTGTAGCACAGCCCCCCCCCACCAGCCCCACACCCCCGGCACCTCAGACGGGTCACCCGCAGCGGGCTCCTAGCACAGCGCCCTGTTGGTGGTGCTGCACTCTGGTCTACAGCCTTACAGACAGTACAAAGAGCCCCGGGGTACAGATGGACCGATTCCAGGCCGCGGGGGTGAGTCAGGCACCCAGACACTCTCACAGTCACTCCTATCAATATTCGCTCACTAGGGGCCCCCGGAAGGAATCTCCCACATGAATGAGAGAAAGGTCTAAGTGTTACAGACAGGTTGGGTTAGGGTTTGGGTTAGGGTTAGGTTATTCTAATCCAGGGCTGCCCACCCCTGCTCCTGGAGATCTACCACCCTGCAGAGTTTAGTGCAGCCCTAATTTAATGACTTAATGATTCTGAGTGTCATCGATCCCAGGGACTGGGCCCCCAATAAGGGCGTTTGCTCCGGGTGTGGCCCGGCCCGATTGCTGGCCCCTTTAACTAAGCGGCCTGGTGTTGCCCACCCTAACCCCTTTAACTAAGCGGCCTGGTTTTGCCCACCCTAACCCCTTTAACTAAGCGGCCTGGTT